TTTTTGTTCCTGGACTCATTGTGGATCCACTGTGGAGCCCATTAATTGAAATTTCTTACCGCTTTCTAGGTAGTCCACCTTATGTTGGATTTACAACAGATAGGAAAGAACGATTTCAATTAGAATTACAAGGTAGATCCAGAAAGAGAGTCAATAGGAAAAAAGAGGAAAACAATGAGCATCATCTTCCTTTATTTGCTGTGTTGGGTATTAGAATTTTCCTAGAGGGGGAGAGGGCTCTAATGTGTTTCTTTTGGATTCTTGTTTGTTTGTGTTTTGTTGACTACTGTTCTTCACAAGCTAAAGGCAGCCCTTTTGTGTTAGAAATGTGAGATGCATCTTCTATGGCGAGCTGCCACTGATTTGCTCGTCTGTTTTGTTTCTTCATTCCAGCTCTTGGCTATGTCCTGAGCTACATTAATGGCGTCTAATGAAGCTCCTGATAAGCCTCTTCTTGTGAACCCAACAGCATAAAGTCCAGCCTTGCCTTTCCACCCATTTGGTAATGGACTTTTTGGAATCCCATCACTGGAAAAGAACTCATTTTCCTGTACGATCAAACACTGATAGTTTTAGAAAGCATTTAGGACAGAGGAGCCCTCGAAGTTGGATACAATTTTGAAAGGACTGAAGGGACTTTAAAACAAGAGCCCAATTCATAATGGGGAAAAAGAATTCCAAATTTTAGAACTTACAAAAAGTTGTTAAAAAACTTGCTTACCTTGAGCCAAGATGGAACATTGCTGCGATAGCCAGTGGCTAGAATTACAGAATCAATCTCCACAACTTCTCCATTGACCAGCTCCACCGCACCTCGCTGAAATTTTTTGATTCCGGCCACCACCTTGATCTCGCCGGCCTTTATCTTCTGCAGTGCTCCAATATCCAACACTGGCGTCTTGCCAGTGGCATTCTTCAGCTGGAAAGGCCCCATTGATGGCCTTTTAAGTCCATACTTCTCAATGTTCCCAAGAACAAGTCTGGCAATGGCCAACAGCATCTTGTCCACTATATGAAGTGGCAGCCATTTCATCAGTGAACTTGCTACTTCAAAAGTTGATTTTCTAAGTATTTCTCTTGGCAATACATGAACCTGCAGATCAACAAAAATTGCGTAACTGCTAAGTTATTGCTCAATGTTGCGGATGATTCTGTGAATTTGACACAGAAAGCTTCATCTTTAGATAGAACTGAAACCAAAAGCTTAAACTTTTAGAAGTTTCAATGCTTTTAGAGTTGATTGACTTCACTTAGTCTACATTTGAAGTGAGTTAATTTGAGTTATTTGATGTAACTTAAGTTGACTCACCGAGCTTCGAACCACCATGGATGGCTTGGCATCATGGTTACAAAGATCAAGTGAGATTTCCATGCCGGAGTTCCCACACCCGACGACAAGCACCCGTTTCCCATGGTAAGCCTCACCGGATTTGTACTCACAAGCATGCATAACATGGCCACCAAACTCCTCCATCCCTTCAAACTCCGGCATGACCTTCTCGGCATTCTCACCGGTGGCAACGACAAGCCACCGACAAATGTACTCAACCTGGGTTGGCTTTGGACTCAATGAAAGGGTATTGACTCGCCAGAGGCCAAAAGTTTCATCATACTTGGCTGACTGAACAGTCTCATTGAAACGTGGGGTTATATCAAAATGGTTGGCATAGGATTCCAAGTACGAAATGAACTGAAACTTGGAAGGGTATGCAGGAAAGTCCTCAGGGAAAGGGAAGTTAGGAAGCTGACAGAATTTCTTTGGAAGGTGAAGTTTAAGACGATCATACGTCCGGTGCTGCCAAAGAGAGGCAATGCAGTCGGCACGGTCGACAACAACAAAGGGGACACCTTGTTGTTTTAGAGCAGCTGCTACAGACAATCCTGAAGGCCCTGCTCCGACGATCACCGGTCCATTGACCCATACGCACCGGTGATCAAAGAAGTCATTACCATCAATGGTCTGAGGCAATGGAGGAATACTGATACAGGTACTATGCATCATATCTATATTTCTCTCTTATTAAGACAGACTTAGGAGGGAAAGGGGAAGAGAAAACAGAACAAATAGAAGAGACTGTAATGTACTTTTTTTGAAGTTGGAGAGAGTTGAAGGGGAAGGTGGCGTTGGAAGGGCTTAAATAGATGAGTTTTTGAGCCAAATGAGAGAGAATAGCATGTGATGTAAATTTGGGGGAAAAAAAAATTATAAACTTTGTGGTCTCTTTCTTCTGAGCTCCAAACCATTTATTTTGTCTGATTCAATCAAACCCATATGTTTAGTGATTATCAAATGAGATTTTGGTTAAAAAATTGGAAGGTAATGAGATATTAGAAGGAGAAGAGAAAGATAAGGATTAAGTGTGGTTTGGTGGCTACTTAGTGACCAAATATTGTGGAGAGTCTCTCAAGGAAGCAACTTGAGATTATGAATTAATGCGTAAAATTTTCATATCATTATTTCAAGATTACTCAAAATCGAGGCCTTTTTTTTTTTTTTTTTTTAATTTAAATTTGAAGATTCAATTTTTTCCACCTTGGGTTGCTCATTGAAATTCTATTGGAATTTGAAACCACCATGCAAAAACTTTGTTCTTGTTGAATTGGAATTGCTTGAGTTTTGATTCACAACAATATCTCTACCATTTTTGGCTTGAATAAGGTTAATTAGTGTAAGAACAAAATTAAATAAGTGGGCTAAAATACCCCCACCAAACATTACAATATTACCCTTGATTTATCGTAAGCGTTTCAAATTTGGGTATCTATTAGAATGTTGAAATTAGGACTTGGGTACGATTTAGTGGTGACATGAAACAGGTCATTGTCGCACTGTTTCATGTCTCAATTTGCATTCAGCATACTTAATAAATTTCACTCTTACATTTTCGAAAAGGACAAGGGTAATATAGTAATTTGGAAGGTTTTGGGGGTGTTCGTTTTTTTTTTCTTTCTTATAAACTTCAAGAAATGGAAGAACAATACATGAGAATAAATATGCAATATATTATATTAGTAAAGTTGAAAAAAAAGAGGAAATGCACGTGCAAAATATTATTGGAAACTTGGGAACTGAGTACACATTATTCTCACCAATTTGTGTTATCTTTTCCATGCAAACATATTTTAGTTAGTGATTTGGGTTCAGCTCTAACCCTCCTAATTTCTTTAGTTTTCATAACCCTTACCTTGCTTGCTTTAGGGATTTGAAGAATAAGTAAAGAATCATTATCATTTCATCCTCCCAAAAATTTACATAAAGTTTTAGGTAGATTCTAGTCGGATAAAATGGATATTAAATGTAACTCATTATTAAGGTTTTTAGAACTCTAACCAATAAAATATCGAACATCATTATTGATATCAAGTTTCAACTCGTTTCATTTCAAAGAGTTTTGGTGTTTCATATCTAAAGTTTAAGTTTGATCGAGTAACATGTCTTGTTATCACATTAAATAGGGTGTATGAAGCTAGGAAGTGTTAGACATGTTCACTAATAGTTCGACCACTACTAAATTTTTTACAACTTAAAACTCAAAATTTTCACTATCTATATTTTTCTCTCTCGTAGTTGTAGTTAGTAGAAGATTCTTACCGATAGATCAGAAATGACATAAATTACTCTTTTATTTTATTGTTACTATTCATGGTCACTCCCCTCCAGCTATGTTTCATAGGTATACGAGACTGAAACATTGATTCCACTAAAGAAATGAGTATTAATGAATGAAAGTATTGGTATTGGTGTGGGATGAAATGGAATGTGAAGTTAGGTAGGATTTAGGGTTCTTGAGATTTGAGAAATGTAAGAGAGAAACCATTATTCCTTTGCCAAATTGTATTGTAGATATCAAGATTTACACGTATCATCCTTTGCTTCTTCTCATTCTTTGTATTGGATCTATGCTCTCACAATTACAACCCCTTTAAATTGTTCTTAATCCAAAGCTCCTAAGAGGGTGTGCCAAAACAAGATAGATATCAATGGATATAAGGGTTTCTTCTTCTTCCTCCACATTCTTCAAATCTTTCATTATTTTCACAAATTATTGTCTCATGTCATGAACTTTGAGGCGAATTTGATACCAGGAAATAGGGTTTGTTTAGAGTTGTTGCGGATATTATTTTCCTAAAATATTTATTCTTCTAATTAACTTGAAAAAAAACTAATTTTATGGGGTGACTATCTTAGAGAAATTTGTGATTGATATCCGATCAAACTTAAGAACTATGTAGCTTAGTGATAGTAGTAGAGTGAAGTCACTTGGTCATTGCTTTCACTTTAGCTCGATTCACTAAGACTTCATCTCCGAACACCAATATGTCATATATGGATACAATCACAAACGTCGTGAAGCTCTTTGAACACACCATTCATTAAATTTATGAAGATGATAGATGCTTTCGTCAGATCAAACCTCAGAATGTCCATATCCAAATTAAAATGTCAGTTTCATGAATATTTATATAGTATATGATTTGACGGAGTATGATTTTGCCTCGTAAAATGCTCATTCACATTATAAACTTTAGTTTAATGTAGCACTAGAACATTAAATCAAACTGAAACTTATAAGGAAAACCAAGCTATTTTTTTTTTTTTTTTCCTTCGAAAAAGATGGTAAAAGTGAAGACTATCACAAGATATACGTGAAAGAAAGTTGTAAGTTGTAACTATCATAAGATATACGTGATAAAGCGTTGTGGATTAGGGCCTCACTCACTATAACTCGTGCTCCTCATAGCATAATGACCAGTTGAATTATCAGACTTAATAACCATTAATGTGAGTTATATTTAAATTGATTGTGATATTAAAAACTAAAAAATATATATTTAGTCGATATTAAAATTAAAATTTAAAGTAAATTTATCATAGCATAACTGTTGAATTATCAGACTTAATAACCATTAATGTGAGTTATGTTTAAATTGATTGTGACATTAAAAACTAAAAAATATATATTTAGTCGATATTAAAATTAAAATTTAGGGTAAATTTATCGAAACTAAAGTGAAACTAGCTAAAAGTTAAGATTACAAATATGATTTTAATGTAGAAATCTGAGGATAGAAATTACGAGTTCCTCTTTTTTCCATAGCTACATCATACTAAAAACCAGAGAGCTACAGAAAACGCAGAGCTGAGACCAGACCAGACCAAGCCTCCATTGTTGAACCTGTTCATCAACTATGGAGTTTACAACACTATAATAATGAAACCTTCCTTTTTCTTCTTCTAGTGCATGAGAGCAACAGCAGCCTCTTGTACCAGAGGTTGAGTAACATGAACAAAATGCTCAGCTTCCCTCTCCAACTGCTCCCAACACTTGTCTGGGTTCTTCCCTTCCTTCATCTTCTTCACAAACGCCACAAATCTTCTCCAATTCTCTGCCTCAAACAGGTGTGGATTCATTCTCAGATATGTGAACGCACACATCTCAGTCTCCTCTGAATCCCCCTCGCCGATGAAGGAGGAAGCTTGCAAGATCTGCCCATGGGCGGACTCATCATAGCGTGGCAGAGCATTTTCCCCTGCAAGAGGGACTTGGGCTTTGTGTGTGGCTAGAGCTACCTGCCGGACCAGCTTCTCAGGGGCACAGAGGGCGTCCTGTGGCTGCTCGTGGTCGCGCATCTCAATGCAGGTGAAGTTGAAGATGGCGCCATGGCGGGCAAGCATTTGAGCAATTGGGAGATATCCATCACGGAATCGGGTATTGTAGTAGCCTGCTGTGAGCTCAGGGGCATGTGAGCGGTGCCCGTAATGCCAATGGATTCCGGCAATCTTCACTGACATCTTGACGCCAGTGTTCTCAAAGGTTGAGGTGGCCGCCATGAGGATTCTCTCGCCATGAGCTAACAGCATTTGGGAGTACCAGGAGAGGAAGAACTCACCGTAAGTCGAATTCCAGCCACCGCCGTCTTTACGAAAAAATGGGGTGTCTTCTGGCCAGTTGTTGTAGCTTCCGGCATCAGTTGGGCCTGTAACTCCCCATTCAGGTTTACCATAAGCTTCAGCAGCAGCTTTTAGACTACTCAGCATGTACTGCACATACCAACACAAATGTTACACTAAAACTAACCAAACGAGTATGGTTGAGAGGAAGTTCTACGTCGACTAATTTATGAAATGATCATCGATTTATAAGTAAGGAATACATCTCTGTTGGTATGAGGCCTTTTGGGGAAAGCCCAAATCAAAGCTATGAAAGCTTATGCTCAAAGTTGACAATATCATATCATTGTAGAGAGTCGTGATTCCTAACATGGTAATAGAGAAGGAGTCGAGTCCGGAGAGACTGTTCGAAAGCTCCATAAGCCTTAGGGGAGGCTCTACGTTGTACTTTGTTCGAATGGAGGATTGTTAGGAGGGTAGTCTCACGTTGACTAATTTAGAAAATGCTTCTCTTTTGGGAAAACAAAAACCAAACTATAAAAGCGGAAGTTCAAAGTGGACAATATCACATCATCGTGGAGATTTGTAGTCAATAACTATAGATTCCAAACTCTACCACCAAACTCAAAGAACTAATACCATCAGTATTTGCTTGGAAAACAAACCATATCTAACATGTTCAATTTCTAATAACAAGCGAAACATTAACTATCTTCTGTAGAAGATGAAGAGGCAGGAAGTTAAAGCTTACCTTATCAAAGCATTGGAAGGCTCCAATTCCTGGAAATTTCCATGTCCCATTTTGCTCAGGGTAGGATGGATAACGGAGCTCACCAGCAGGGCCCATTCCCACTTGGATTTCCTAAACCAATCCAGACAATTCAGCTACTGTTCACATCAATCAAGAAAGCCATTTCATATAAACAAGTTGCAGATAAAGCAGATGGAAATGAACGAGGATTTTACCACAATGGTGTCACCAAGAAGGTGCTTGAAATTATCCTTGAAAGCACGCATGAAATCTGCATAGCATTGGACGGGAGTTCGGCCTTTAAGAACAGGGAGGTTGTCGCATCCCAACGATATGTATTCATAATTCCTTCTCCCCCATTGATCAGTGTACGCAAGATCTGGATCTTTATCAATCTCTTCCACTACCCATTTAGGTAAAGGAATACTGCATACAGATAAGAAAGAACACCATATCATTTCCAAATCTCCCCCAAAAATTAGCACTGCAGAAGACAGAAGTGTGACACATTCCCAGCCAAGGAGCAGTGGCTTCCTAGATTGATCATACCAAATCCAATGGGCTAAATATATGTTCTAATCCCTAAACTTCATATTTTCCTCTATCGAGTGCCCTAATTCCAAGAATCAATTTCTGGCTCAGCTAATTTACTGTTCATGAACTAAGGGGAAAGTACACAATAAAGGAACTGAGTAGATTAAAGCAAAATATGAACAATAACAGGATCCATGGAAGTTCAATCTTCAGGTTCAATGGCGATTGATTAACATTACCAGTTTGGCGAAGAGTTCCTTCCCCAGCAAACACTTAGCAAATGCCTAACTAAACTGTTATTATACGAATCTTGAAAAGTAAACGAAGATGGAAAAAGGTAAAGGCGCTTACGTGACGGAGTCCCCAACGTTGCCGCCGCATTGATGAAAGGACATAACGGCTTGGACTTTGAGGCCGTGTTTTTTGGCCATTTCTAAGAGCTCTGTATAGCCGCCCCAGTTGTACGAACCAGGCGAGTCTCTCTCCACCAATCCCCACCACACATCCATCATTATCCCCTCCACTCCGGCGCTTTTCAGAGCCTGTAAACTCGCGTTCATCGCCTTCCTCCGATTCACCGTATTCCCCATCGTCACGCTATCCAATGGCATCATCACGTAAACCGGAACTCCTTTCCCCTTCCCTCTCTCACCTCCTTCTTTGTACTCCTTCACTTCCGTCGGAGCCGCCACCTCGGTCGCAAATGCTTGGCACGCCACCGACAAATCTGGCCGTATCCCTCCCAGCACCGGCGATCTGCACGGACTCAATGGCGGCGATAGCGCGTCTACTCCGTCCGTCCTCTGCACTCTGCATCTTAGAGCAGACGCCGGTGACTTCCTCAACACCGCCGCATTCACTGCCGCTGTCGCTTCACCGGACGCGCCGTTACTCATTTCTGAAGTCACCGGCGTTCCGGCGAGCGCTCCAATCTGATGAGTGATGCTGAACGCCATATCCAATAAAATCAAACGAGAAAGTTAATCAAATTCAAATGGAAACCAAAATCTAAATTCTAATCTCTACGAACAAGGAAGAAACTCGTAATCCGTTCTTGTTCTTTTTAGATTCGTGTACGGCAATTTGAAATTTCTTACTTCAAGGCTCAATCGGTTCCACATATATATATAGCGTTCGAGTCGGATAAAGAGAAATCTAGTATTAACCCGTCAATATTGCAACACGTGTCGCTCAAGACACGTGGCGGCAACGCGGACCAGTGGAGTAGGCGACGGCAGCGATCACTCGATGCACGTGAAGATGGACGGTAAGATTTTCCCTTACTAGAAGTTTCCAAGAAATTGGCTTTCCAGCTTGGTTTTCAAACCAATTTCTTATTGACACGTTGGCCACTTGCGTGTTACGTGTACTTCCTCTGCTTTTTTAAAAATATATATATATTAAAATTTTCACTTAATTTTGAAGCAAAATAAAAAATAAAAAATAAAAAAAGAAAGAAAAAGCTGTAAATCTTAAAATTTTAATCTCCCATAATTTTTTATTTAAAAATTCGTTAAATATATATTTAAAAATAATAATAAAACATGTATTCTCATATGTTTTCATTTAATTATAATATATATATATATATATATATTATCTAAAATTTACACTAAAGCTAAAATCTTGTTAATTCAACCATCCGCTTATAAACTAATTAATTTTAAAATATTATATAAAAGTTTATTTTAATAATTATTCATTTAATTTTCTATTTTCAATAAAAAATAAAATAAAATAAGCCCAAGGCTTAAACATGTGATTCATAAAGGAGACGTGTGGAGAGAGAGATCCCTTTCATTTTTTTTGCCTTTTAACCCTTCTATTAATACTTTTTTTCTTTTGTGGCCCTAAATTCTTGCCCGTGAACAAAATAAACCCATTTTTCCACCGGCCCCAATATCCAAAACGGTGACGTTTTATCCAATATCCTCCACATACAATAGATTTATTATTGTTTTTTTATTAGATTTGATAAAATATATATTTAAAAATGTAAGGATTAAAATGAAATAAATTTTAAACTATAAGGCAAATATATGGGCATTTCTTTTTCTAATACATAATAAGTATTTAAAAATAAATATAACATAATTTTTTTTTAATATAAAATAATATGTTTTCCTCCCAAGGAAGATCTAAGTTGATAATTATTTGTTAATTAAAGGTTTCTTTTATTCTAATTTATCAACTTAAATTTCAAATTTAGTGGTGGTTTAATTTATTAAAATATAATTAGAAAATTATCTTAATTCTTTTTTAATATTGGAAATTTTAATTTCTCTCCTATTTAAAATTAAGTAATAGACTCCTATTTATTATTTTTTTTTTCCATTATTGAACACCTAAGGCTAATCTAAATTGTTTTACTTATTATTTATTTGGCATTGTGTAATTAATTCGGTTTTGAAAAGTGGGTCTCCCTCCCACATACAACTATACAATAATATATATATAAACATTCATTTATGCCAAAGCTAAATTAGGAAAATGTCAATTTTACTTAAATGTTGGGACTCTTGAATTGGTAACAAAAATATTCCTCCATCAAATGCTTAATTTTTTTTTTTCTTTTTCGAGTTTTACGTATGTTTGGTGAAAAATTCAAACCTCTTATCTCTTAGTCAATGATATATATCTTAATTAACTAGTTAAATCAAGCTGAAATAGACATGTTTTAATAAGTTTAGGGTTTAGGATTTAGAGTCTAGCTCGTAAATTTCTTAATACGAGATTTTCAATTTGTTGGTTGATTAGCCCCTTTAACTAACTGAATCAAGATTCGGGTATCTGGGTATTCAAATCGTTGATCATGTGAGATCCTACCTTTGTTGAATAAGGGAACAAAACATTTCTTATAAAGAATTGGAAATTCCTCGTAGACTTGTTTTAAAATTTTGATGGGAAGCTCTGAGAAGAAAAGCTTAAATAAAAAACAATATTTACTAGTAGTGTACTTAAGTTCCTACCAACCTTATATCATAATTATGTTGCTCATAGTATACTATTTTTTAATCGTTCCTTCACAACCCCAACTCTCTTTACTGTAATTGAGATTTTGAAGATGTGAATTTTTTATATACATCTTAATCAACTAAGTTATAAGTTATATAAGGGTTTTTATTGTTGGATGATGAAAGTTCCACGTAGCTAATTTAGGGAATGATCATGGGTTTATAAGTGAGGAATACTAATTGGTGTGAGACTTTTAGGGAAGCCCAAAGCAAAGCCATAACCACTTATGCTCAAAGTGGACAATATCATACCATTGTGGAGAATCGTGTTCGTCTAACATTTATTAACTTTGTTTTTATATTAAATTTGGTTTGAAAAAAATATAAATTTTGGATGAAAAAAAAAAATAATGAAAATGTGATTGGGTTGGTTACTAAAATAATTAAATAAGAAAAACAAATTTGTAAGCCAGAAGAAGAAATGCCAGCTCTGAAACACTATTAACCTATCACGATACGCCACGTTTTCTTATATTAATTATATACCGAATTTCCTTCAACCTTGGAAATTTAGCGTAACGACAGTTCAGATTATACAGGCCAAACTTTTTACAGCTGTATGGGCACTCGAATTTAATGAATGCACCAATTTCCTATTTTTTTTATTTATTTTCTTTATATATAATTTAATATTATTCAAATTTTTTAATAGAAGATTCAATGTAAATTACTAATACAAATTAAATAATATTTTATTAATATAATATAACGTATTATTTCCTAAAAATTCAAAATTCAATATTTCAAACTAACAATTAAATATATATATATATTTTACTAATGAGTATAAATCTTTTTTACTCTTCTTCGATTTCTTTTGGTTGGCACACCGATCCATGTCTTGTTCTGATATCAATTATAACCGTTCGAGGCTAGACTTACAAAAGCTAGACTTTTATTTTCGAGATTTGCCAAGACTTTAAAATGCTATATTAGATATAGATTTTAACAATGTGTGATATTATAGATTATAGTGAGGAGAATAAAGAAAGCACATGATACAGATTTTTGAGTCTTCATTGTCATTTCCCCATATACAAACTTGTTGCTAAGAACTGAAACTAAGCAATTAAAATCCACCAAATTTTGCAGCAAAAATCAAAACTGAAACTACCGGAGAAATTTAGTGTACAATGGGGGTTGCAGATTTTGGTTCCACTCTGCTCAACTGAATTCCCCTTTTCTGCGCTTCATCTTCATCATGATATGTGTAAGCAAATCCCCCATGGCGGGTCAGATCCATCCCCGCCATTTCATCTTCACTAGAGATTCTCAGAAGCTTCAGTTTGTGAAGAACAAAGAACAATGGCCCCATCGTCCCGCTCACCCACCCTACAATCACCACAATCTGTATCAAATGCGCTGCAAGTAACCTCCCGCCGCCGCCCATTAGAAGTCCGTAAGGTCGTTGAGATCCGCCGTACACCTCCGCCACGTACTCCTTGGTTGCGAATAGCGCTGTGAATATCACTCCCCACGCGCCGCAGCCGCCGTGAAGCTGGGCGGCTTCTAGCGGATCATCGTACTTCGCCTTCTCGGCGATGTGGTTGCAGGTTATTAGTACGAGGGCGGCTACGAAGCCGCAGATGATTGACGCCCACGGTTCGACGACGGAGCAGCCGGCTGTGATGGCGGCGAATCCGCCGAGGAGTCCGTTGCAAACGTCCGTCACGTTCCAGTGTCCTGAGAGGAATCTCTTCCCGAAGAGTGTGGTGAGTGCCGCCGTGCATCCGGCGAGTGTGGTGGTAACCGCTGTCCGTCCGACGGCACTCCATTGGCCGTAGAAGTTCCCGGTGGTGTACGGGACGAGAATCTTCGCGAACGAACCTGGATTGAAACCGTACCATCCGAACCAGAGCATGAAAGTCCCGAGAACGACTAAAGAGGCGCTGTGCCCTCGCATAGCTACGGACTGGCCCGTGTGGTCAAATCGACCGATTCTCGGCCCCTCGATCAACGCGCCCCAGAGACCTGCAATTCCCCCAACCATATGGACGACGCCGGAGCCAGCGAAATCGATAACTCCCGATCCGAACAACAATCCGCCTCCCGATTTCATAGCCCCAGCCCAACCATCAGGGGACCAGAACCAGTGAGAAACCACAGGATAAACAAATCCAGTCAAAACAGAGGAATAAATCAAATAAGCGACGAATTGAGTCCGCTCAGCAATAGATCCACTGGTAATCCCAGCGGCGGCAATCGCAAACGCCCACTGGTAGAGGAAGAAACTGTAATCAGCGGTGGAGGTGGGGAAGGAACTGAGGCCAAAGTTATGGCGGCCGATGAAGCCATTGGAAGGGGATCCGAAGGCAAATGCGTAGCCGAAGAGGTAGTAGAAGAGGCCTCCAGCGGCGGCGTCGAGGACGTTGGTGAGCATGATGTTCATGGTGTTTTTGGCGCGGACGGAGCCGGCGCAAAGCATGGCGAAGCCGAGTTGCATAGAGAAGACGAGGTACGCGGAGAAGAGGAGGTAGGTGTTATCGAGGGCGTTTTTGGTGTCGGAGAAGTTGTTGGTGATGGTGGTAAATTGGTCGCAGATGAAATTTGCAGCGCCGGTGGCGTTGGTGGTGTTGGGACCTAAGAGCTCCGCGAGATGGCCGGCGCAGAACCCTGAGTCCATTGTTTAGAGGAAGAAGAAAGGGCACAGAAGATATGGCACTTCGGTTATGCTATTGCTCCTCATTTATAGGACGGATATGTAGCGGACGTAGCATAATCAAATAAATTATATTGCAAATATGTGATTTCTGTAAAAAATAATTATTAAATTATATTTTCGTTATTTTCAAAAAATAATATTATTAAATTATGATTTCATTTCTCAAAAAATTAATATTATTGCCTTACTGAATTTTAAATAATTAATTATTACTATTATTTTATTTATATTAAGTTACATTTTTAAAATAAATTTAATCAAATAAATATAATTTGTTATTCATTATTAAAATATTTACGAATAATATACCCTTCCATTTTAAGTTTTTATTATTTACGGATGAATTTTAATAATTGTCTAAATGAATTTATAAAAATAATCTGACCTTTTAATTATAAATAAGTAATACAATAATAAGTTTTCATTTTTATAAATGAATTAAGCATTTTTAATTATATTCTTCATCCAACTGTCCAATTATATATTATTATTATTATAATAGTAAATAAATGGTTGATAGTTATATTATAATATTAATATTAATTATTATATTTTTGCTTCGTGAGAGTACAAATTGAAATAGACATAGGAGTGAAGACTAGAAAACCTTATTCATCCCAAAATTGTGAGATGAAGAGATTACTCGTCTCCACGTGTAAAAATAATTCTTAAAATTTATTAAAAAATGAAAATATAAAAAGGGAAAATAATTATATTAGCCTCGTCAATTATTAGTGCAAATAAAGAAATTGAAACGACCCAAAATGTCAAATAAAGAAATTGAGGAGAGGTTTTCATACCTTTATAAAGAATATTCTGTTCTCTCTTCAACCAACATGTGATATCACATCGTGTGATACAATATATAATTACTTTAATTGTATATTAAAATTATATTTTAAAATAAATAGACAAAGACGAGTATATATTTAAAATAATAGGTTGAAATAATAAAAATTATATACCAACGAAAAATAATAAATATCAACGAATTAAAAAAGTTGCGTGAATCTATAGATATAAATGGGTCAACTCTAATTATTAATTAACAAAATTTATTATCACTAATTAAGTGATTTAAAGTCATTATGCTTTCTCATTTGTGTATTTTTTTCTCTAAAAAAAAGTTTAATACATTTTAGATAATCAATCTAAATATTAAATGATTTAGGCTTAATTGAAATTTGTGTAGTTATTATTATTGATAAGAAATTCAAATAAAAATTAACTTCAAATTTAAAAGTAGAATTATTAAATTTAAGATTTAGTGAAATTATACGAAATTACATGAAATAAAATATAAATATAAAGAGTGATTTAATTTATGAATTATTTAATAAAGCCTTTTGAAGAGAGATATAATCAGTGACGTGGACGTGAAGTTTGAATAATTAGTAACATATGGAATCTTCCATTTATTATTATTTTTATTATAAGGAATCTTATTTTTTTTAAAAGTATATTTGGAAAGAATCAAATATAACGTATGTGATGTCATGAATTTAAAGTGAAAGTCAACCGATCCGATTTTTGAAACCTATTTTAATAATAAATTTTATTTAAAATATAAATTAATTCATTTCTGGCCATAGTTTTTTTTTTTTTTTTTTTTTTTTT